CCCACACACACACACCACACACCACACACACACACCCCACACACACACACCACACACCACACACACACACCCCACACACACACACCACACACCACACACACACACCCCACACACACACACCACACACCACACACACACACCCCACACACACACACCACACACCACACACACACACCCCACACACACACACCACACACCACACACACACACCCCACACACACACACCACACACCACACACACACACCCCACACACACACACCACACACCACACACACACACCCCACACACACACACCACACACCACACACACACACCCCACACACACACACCACACACCACACACACACACCCCACACACACACACACACACCACACACACACACCCCACACACACACACCACACACCACACACACACACCCCACACACACACACCACACACACATACACACACACCACACACACACATACACACACATACCACACACACATACACACACATACACACACACCACACACACATACACATACCACACACATACACACACATACACACCACACACACACACATACACACATACATCACACACACATACACACACACACCACACACACCACACACCATAGCACAGTATACCCCCCAAATAAACATAATAAAAATAAAATATTGGCAATGAAATCTAGATTCTACTAATTTTTTGAAATGATATAACAATGCAACTTAAATGTCAACGTTTACAATATGCCAAACATTCTTTGCATTTAAACCACGGATGAAAAGTTTTACCAGGTAATTTTAAAGTGTGCTTAGGGGATAGCGTTTCATACAATCTTTAAGGAGCTACAAGAGCAAAAAATAAATAATGATGAGGGAATGCTGTTCTAGATCTTCAGAACTTTTGCAAGATGAAATAGTGAGAGCGAAAACGAGCGACTTCCACTAACCCAGTTTTGAGTGTAGGCTGTTGGAGGGGGGCAGTGTTAGGATTCTCTGTCCTCCCCTTAGTTCTGAACAAATTTGTGGAACCCGATCCTATACACAGTTTCCAGTATGATCAATTAAACTATCCGACAACCAATAGGGTTGACTGGGGTTCCACCTTGGTTGATGAGAGCTATCCCATCTAATCTTCCAAAGACAACTGTTACAGTGCTTTCCTTGGAATTCTCCAGAAAGACTAGGGGACAAAACCCAGGAAGGCTCACCAATTGTGTACCTAATGCACAAAGATAAATTTCATCATTAGAGGGTTGGCAAGATAGCTGAGTGGGCAAAGGCACTTGCTGCCAGGCCTGATGACCTGAGGTCCATCCCCCAAACCCACACGGTGGAAGGAGAGAACCAACTCCCACAAGCTGTCCTCTGACCTCCACATGTCTGTGTGTACCCACATGCACACACACAATACACAAATAAGTGTAATTTTAAAATTTCATCATTTAATTCAATTTCCAGGGGATTCAATGCCTTTTTCTGACCTTTGTGGGCATTGCAAACCACGGATACACTTACACACATGCAGGCAATATACACATACATATAAAATAAAAATAAATAAAAATATTTAAATTTCATTATTGGACATGTAAGCTTGAGTGCATCTTTCTCATTGGCACGTCTTATGCAAAGAACAGGAGAATTCTTTACATGTTGTAATATTTTTTTAAGTAGCAAATGTATAAAGAAGTTATTTGAACAGGGACATTTGCAAATCCCAAGTCCCCAAACTCCACCTGCTTCCTTCCCTCTCTCTGGTTCTTTCCGGTTCTATAACCTCTCTTCTCCCCCCTTTTCGTTCACTCCTTTGGGAAGCACAGAGTCATCTAAACACGATGGATGATGCCAGCACTTAATTTGGTGTCCACACCATTTTTAAAATATTGACTTTCTGGTCCTCAAGCTCTGAGACAGGGAGGCTATTCAGAGCAGACACCAGACCTGCCCCAATCCTGCTGCCCTTTCACCAGAGGCACCATCAACAGCCTGAGATAAGGCTCAGTCTTCCGGGCACAAGAGAAATCCTGCTCCTCCATTTAGTAGTTCTGAGTCCTTCACTGAACTTCCCTAAATACAGGATCCAAAGTCCTTAAAACAGGTTTGCCAAGGATCTGACTATACAGCAACATGTGGAAAAGCACCTGCATGTGGTAGGCATTCCATACTCAACAGTTGTGAAGCGAGACTTAATATTCTCCCACAACATCTTAGACCTGGTCACCACCTTCCTTGGGGCATGTCAATTTGTGGAATGTTTTTCAATTTCTTCCTAATTTCCTTCAAAACAAGTGATTTGGAAAATGACTACTTTTCATGTCTAAGTATAGGGATGTGTGCGTGTAAAGTGTACCACAGCATTGAAGCTGGTTAAGATATACACAGGATTAGGACTCTGCAAAACCTGAGTTCCCCAACAACATTTAAGAATACAGCAGCAATTTCCTTGACACTGCTGTGAAACATGTTTGAGCAAAGAATCTATGATCTGGCTCTCTTAAAGTCCACCCAAATTAGTGCCAGGCGCACGCCTTTAATCCCAGCACTGGGAAGGTGGATCTCTATGAGATCGAGGCCAGTGTGAGCTACACAGTGAGTTCCAGGCCAGTTGGGGTTACAAGGAGACACTGTCTCAAAAAAATAAAAAATAAGTCTACCCAAATTAAAATGTTAAGATAATATGTCACCACCTCATTGGATTAGCAAAGATTTATGAAGTAAAATTTCCTATTTTATTATGGATATGGGTTCAGCACTCTGCCCACAATGCTAATATTTGTCTGAGTATAACCTTTGACCTCTAGAGCAATGATAAGGAATATCACAACTTTAAAAAGGATTCACTCTGGACATAGTGGCACACACCTTTAATCCCAGCACTCAGGAGGCAGAGGCAGGCAGATCTCTGTGAGATGGAGGCCAGCCTGGTCTACATAGTGAGTTTGAGGCCAGCTGAGTTTACAGGGAGACCCTATCTTACAAATAAAATAAAGTAAAATAAAACAAAAAGGATTTACATACCCATTCAACATGGTAAGAATACATTGCAGCTTTCCCCCTACACAAACTTCTCTACGGGATTGTTCATCATATCAGAGTTTACAATAGCAAAACGGTTGAAGCAACTTTATGTCCACCAACAGGGGGCGGGGGGGATGGACGTAATGTCCCTCAATGGGGACCAGATATACTTGGTTCAGTCATTTCTGCAGAATATCATGCAGCTATAAAATCCATGCTAACAAAGAGACTGGACTGGTAAGTGACACAGTTAGGTATAAAGCAGCATTTGGCTACCAGTATGAATTTGGGTGTGCCAGAGTGATTCTCAAGTGGTAATCTCAAGAGAAATTCACAATAAAGAACTAGAATTAAACATAGTGAGCAAAATCCATTCCAGGATTTGAAAGTAAAGTGTTAAGACTCACAGTCCACTTCTTTGAAAAGAAGCGTGGAATGAACACAGAGCTGATTCGGGTCCTTTCTATGAATGGCAGGGCCAGGATGGTGAATTAACAGTTACGTCTGAAGCTGACCCACAGCCTCTTTTCACTGCACCTTCGATGAAGCCTGAGTGACTTCAACAGCACACACCAGTGCTCTCTTGCCTAGCTAAGAAGTTTTGGCAGTTTGCAGAGATGAGGGAAGGTCTAGAAATGGAAAGGTGAGACTCAGCACCTGCCAAAATACACAGTTGTGCACAGTGGAGGAGGAAATGAAATACTGAACTAGTGCATGTCTGCAGGCACATATTAAAGCAAACCACACTCTGCCACCCCCACACCCAGAAGACAAGCTTCAACATACCAGGTGTCCTCCCCTGGATTCAACAGCCATCATCTTCACACTTGATTCCAGTTTAAAAACTCATTTATTCCCAATGCCCACCGCTGCCACCACCAACCACAAGCAAGGCCAGCACACACACCAGCACTGTTTCCCAGCTCTCACAAACTTCCCTGGAGGTTTTTTCCTATTAGAGCTTCCAGTGTCTAACCTAACCCCACAGAAAAGAACCAGAACCCAAATTCCTTGGGACATTCACCCATCTCCTGGAAAGCACTCTCTTACTCTATAAAAGAAGAAAGGCAAGTGCCTGGATGGCATCCCGATGCTCAGTCCTATTTTATGTGGCCTGTGTGTGGCCTCAACTCTATTTGCTTATGTGCCTGCCTGCCTGCTGCCAACCTGGGGCCCGGCAGCCCCCAAGCAGGCTAGACCTCTTTTTCCAGTCGGAAGTCACAAGAAACCAAATCCAGTGAAGTTAGGGTGCAAACAATCAAAACCAAACCACATCTAAGTTGCCCCTCCAATGTCACAAGTCTCAGACTCAAAGGGTCTATACTTAATCTGTTTGCAGATATCACCATGCACGACCACCAGTCGGGGGACATCCTGCTTGGTTTCTGGTGGTCAGTTTCAGGAAACACAGGTTCTTGGTTCTGAGCTCAGATTGTAAATCAATATGTTTTAGTGAGTTAAAATATTTTCCTAGGCTGGAAGTGTGCTGAGTTAATAATTAACCTTCAGCATACCACCACTTCTGCTAAAGACATTTTCTACACACGGTCCTAAATTACTTTCAGTTGGGTTAAACAGACCCCCGAGCTATAATGAAAGGCCTTTGGGAAACGTGATCCTTTCCACTGGGTCACCAGGGAGCTTTTCCTCCTAAATCTGCAGCTTCTGGGCGGACGCTGGGAGGGGCGGCTGGGGAAAGCACCCCGCTCGAGATGCCATCCAGAGCCCAATTATTTTCGTAAGAAAGTTGCCTAAGAGAACTCCGCAGGCTTCCCAGGTTGGGTAATTCTCACAGGAGGCTGGGGAGGCACAGCCCGCGTCCGAGATGCCTATGTGTAGAGCCGATTCCCCGGGAGGGCGTCCCCGCTCGGTGCACGGCCAGGGCTGGGATCCGCACCCCCCGGCCGGCCGGCAGAGCGGAGCACCGCGCCAGGGCTGCGGCAGCCGGGCGGCCACGTCCCTCCCCGCGGCTGCCGGGCACTCACCGCTGTCCAGCCGCGCGATCTGCGGCAGCCGGTAGGTGCTGACCAGCAGGTCCAGCGGCACGGCGGCCGAGCTCCACTTCACATCCTTGAGGCTGCAGCCCAGCGCGGGCGCCGAGTCCATCTTCCCCGCCTCCTCCGCCCGCGTCCCGCGCCGGCCACTGCTCGC